AGGCTTCCCTTGGCTAGGCAAAGGAGTTCTCTGACCCCTTGCACTTCCTGGGTGAGGCAAGGCTTCACTTTGCTTCAGCTTGCCCTCCATGGGCTGTACCCACTAACTAGTCTCAATGAGATGAGTTGGGTACCTCAGTTGGAAATGCAATCACCTGCCTTCTGTGTTGATCTCACTGGGAGCTGCAGACCAGAGCCATTCCTATTCAGCCACCTTGCCTACAACCTGGTAATTTTTCTTCAAGAAATTTTTAAATTTCCTTCTTCATTGACCCACTGGTCATTCAGGATCATATTGTTTAATTTCCATATGTTGGTGTATTTTCTAGTTCCTCTTGTTATTGATTTCTAGTCTTATTCCATTGTGATCCAGGAAGTTACTTGATACGATTTGTTTTTGATATTATGGTCTAGTACATAAAATGTTCCATGTGCTGATGAAAAGAATGTGTATTCTGCAGCAGTTGGGTGAAATGTTTATGAATGTCAATTAAGCCTGTTAGATCTAGTATATAGTTTAGCTTTACTGTTTATTTATTGACTTTCTGTCTGGATGATCTGTTCATGATTGAGAATGTGGTATTAAAGTCTGCTACTATTATTCTGTTGCAGTGTATCTCTTTTTTTAGGTCTATTAATGTTTGTTTAATATATTTGGAGCTCTGGTGTTCAGTGCATAGATATTTATAATGGTTATATTCACTTGCTGACTTGAAACCTTTGTCATTGTATAGTGCCTTTCCTTGCTTTTTTCTTTTTACAGTCTTTGATTTGTAGACTCTTTTATATAAGTATAGCTACTCCTGCTCTTTTATTTGAGGGGGAGTATACAGTGGGTGCTCTAGTTGCATGAAATATCTTTTTCCAGCCCTTTCAGTCTATGTGTATCTTTATAGATAAAGTCAGTTTCTTGAAGGCAGCATATAGTTGGGTTTTGTTTGTTTCTTTCTTTCTTTTTCCAACTTTTAAGTTCAAGAGTACATGTGCAGAAGGTGCAGGTTTCTTACATATGTAAACATGTGCCATGGTAGTTTGCTGCACAGATCAGCCCATCACCTAGGTATTAAGCCACCACACCTGGCCCATATTTTCAAGTTAATTAGCTATTAATAGGTTGCTGTAATTATTATTGTTTTTGATAGATTTTTTGGGGGGTGTTATATTAGAATTATGAGTGGATTACACACCACAAATATAGTAATAGAGTATTCCAGATTTGTCTATGTATTTAATTTTGCCACTTGGCTTTATATCTTGAAAAACTTTCTTTTGCATGTTTATAGGTTTTCTTTCAGATTGAAGAACTCCTTTTAGCATTTCTTGCAAGACAGGCCTGGTGGTGGTGAATTGCCTCAGCTTTGTTTGTCTGTGAAATACTTTATCTATCCTTCAAATGTGAGCGTCAATTTTGCTGGATATTTTTATATGGCAATTCTTTTTTTTCTTTGAGCACTTTGAAAATATCATTCCATTCCCTCCTGGCCTATATGGTTTCCATTGAGAAGTCTGTTGCCAGACAAACTAGAACTTCTTTATGTTATTTCCTTTTTATTCTCTCACTGCTTTTCAGACCTTGATCTTTGAGAATGATGATTAATTGCCTTCAGATAGTCTTATTTGGACTGAACTGGTTTGGTGTTCTAAGACATTCCTGTAACCTGGATTTATCTTTCTCAAATTTGGAAAGTTTTCTGTTATTATGTTTTTTAATAAGCTTTCTACCCCTTGCTCTTTGCTCAGCTCCCCCTTAGATACCAATCATTCTTAGATTTGGTCTTTTGAGGCAATTTTCTATGTCTTACATGGTGTTCATTTCTTTTCATTCCCCCTGCCCTCTGTATATTTTCAAATAGCAAGTCTTTGAGCTCATTGATTCTTTTCTCTGCTTGGTTATTCTGATGTAGAGAGCCTCTAAAGAGGTTTTCAGTGCAGCAAATTTATTTCTTAGTTCCAAGATGTCTATTTGATATTTTTATTGTCTCAATTCCTTTGTTAAATTTTTCTGATAAATTTCTAAATTGCTTGGAAATTTACTGAATTTTCTTAAAACTACTATTTTGAATTATTGGTCAGAAGCTCACCAATCACCATCTTATTAGGGTCAGTCTCTGGATTTTTGTTTTGTCCTTTGGGAAGGTCGTGGGTCCCTGTCTACTGTTGTTTCTTGTGAGTATACATGTATGTCTTTGCATTAAAAGATTATTTACTCCAGTTTTCTCTGTCCAGCTTGTTTTGGATTTTATTGAATATATTTGTTTAGCAAATCTTCACTGTTAGGTTGCTGCCTGCCTTTTGGTTCTGGATGGGATGGCACCTTAAGTTCAAATTCACCTCAGCTCTAGTAACTGGTCCGAGCACTGCCTGTCTCAAATGAGGCATCCCAAAGGGATTATCCTGGAGTGTGGGAAGGCTGGCTAGGAGCTTGTGCCCAGGGGCCAGGGGAATGTACTTCCTGCAGTCATTTATTTGGCATCTCCTTTGGCTAAACTTATAGAGCAAAGTTTCTGGGCTGGGGATGGTAGTCCCACCTCCCCTGTTTGACTCTGCCTAGTCTCAGGAATATTTCTCCCTTGAGGCAGTCATGATATTACCCGCAGGTTAATGCAATGATAGGTCTCCTGCTAGGGAGCCCAGGAAGATGGAGAAGCTGGCTAATCACCTCCATTTTACTTTTTCCAGGGTATAAACCATGAGTTAAGGGCAGATTTTCTGTGCAGTTGGTGCCTGGTAGGATTCGGGGGGGGGGCGTTGGGGTGGATTCAGGGGGGTGGATTTAGTGGGGGTGGGAGAAGGGCGTCATGTATGTGGAAGGCTAGTTCTCCTGCCATCTGCTAAGAGATTTTCTACTTCTCTGTGGCCCTGGGAGCTGTCTTATCCTCATTCTTGAACTCTGGGTTGTTGCTGGTGAAGATCTCAGTACTTTATATTATTTTTCAGTTTTTTATTGGGGGTGAAAAAACAACTTGCCTATTTGCTACCATTTTGGAACCAAATCCTCTTGTGGATTTTTAAAATGTTCACCATATCATGTTTTTGTCACCTTTTTTATACCTAAAATGGTCAATTTTTCTTTGTCTTTTTATTCTTGATGAATTCTGCCCTAGGTTTGTCTATTGTAACAGTTTCTTTAAAGACCCATATTTTGGCTTCACCAAGTGTGTTATTATTTTGTTTTCTATTTCATTAATTTCCACTATTATTACCTTCTTTTAGTTTATTGGAGTCTACTTTTCAAAAAAATTATTTCCCAGCACTTTGAGATGGCAAGACAGAAGGATAGCTTGAGGGCAGGAGTTTGAGAGCAGCCTAGGCAATATAGCAAGACTTCGTCTCTACAAAAAATTTGAAAATTAGCCAGGTGTAGTGGTGTGCACCTGCAGATCTAGCTACTTGAAAGTCTGAGGTGGGAAAATCACTTGAGCCCAGAAGTTTGAGGTACAGTGAACTATGTCTGTATCACTGCACTCCAGCCTGAGCAAGAGAGTGAGACCCTATCTCTTTAAAAGAAAGAAAGAAAAAAACTGAGAGGGAGGGAGGGAAGGAAGGAGGGAAGACTGGAAGAAGGAAGGAAGGAAGTTAGTCTTAAGTAGCATACCTAGCTCATTAATTTTCAATTTCTTTTCAGAATCAGTCAATACATTTTAGGTTATAAAGTGCTGCTTTAGCAACATCCAAAACGTTTTGATACATAATATTTTATTGTTTTTTATTTCTTAAAATCTTCTACTTCCCAAAGGATTTCTTCTCTAACTCATGAGTTACTGAGGGAGATGTGTGTGTGTACATTAATTTCAAATCTATAGAGTGTTTCTAGTTATCTCTTTGATATTTATTTCTAATGTTATATTTTAGTCAGAGCAATCAGAGGAAATCACGATTTTTTGGTATTTATGAATCTTGCTTAGTGGTCTATAATGCAATCAAGTCTTTTTTTTTACTTGATTTTATGTATTAGAGATCTTTCTCCATTAATGTATATATAATCTACTATATATTTTTTAAAGGTAGCTTATTTATGCTCTCTTGATAGTTTGTTTCTTATTTTCTGTCTTTTTGCTTGCTGCATACTATCTGTATCAGCAATCCCCAAGATCACCCTCACATTCAGAGATTTGCTAGGAGGACTCATGAGACTCAGCATACGATTGTACTCATGGCTAAGATTTATTACAGTGACATAATAAGGATACACAGCCAGATGAAAAGGGACGGAGACACAAGGAGATTCTGGAGGAATCCATGGGCAGGCTTTCTTATGCCCCTTCTCTTCCACAAGGAGTCACACAGAGCACACTCTTTACACAGCAACAAAAATGTAGCGACTTGTATGTTATGTTTTTGCCCAAGGAAGCCCATTAGAGACTCAGCATTCAATGATTTTGTTGGGGGATGATTACATAGGCACCTTCTTCCTATCATGTACCAAAACTCCAGACCCCAGAAGGAAATCAAGAGCATAAATAATATTGTTTGTATTAATAGTCTAAGCACAATAAACTACCCTTATCAATTAAAAAATGGTGGGAACATTCCCAAAACACCAAATACCAAACACCAGCAACAGCTGTCCTTGCAAACAAGCAGACCCTTCTGAAGTGAACAACCTCAAACCAACTTTGTTAAATCTCTCTCAGATTTTTAGAGTAGGTTGATACTATGAAGAGATGGATCATATAATTCAGTAGGTGTGTGTGAATTAATTAGATAGTGCCTATGGGAAAATATTTTTCAAACTAGTTACTTTTAAGTGAACTTCCATAATGTAATCCTATTCATGAGTTTGAATTGCCCATAGTTAGTGAACAATACTGTTATTTTAAAAGGAGACTGAACCTCTAAATGGTACCCTAAAAAAGGAGCTCATTATCTGTAGCCTCTAATACTACAAGTTAGCTATTATTTGTCCTCTTTGCTGCCTATGCTAAATTTCCTTCTCTATACAGGTTAATCTTTGAAATAAAAGTTTTGTAGAAATAAGTTGTTATCTTTAACTTTATTCAGGTTTGTAGAAAAATGCTACATCGCCACATGCTCATATTTCGACTGCCTAACTTACAGATGTTAGATAAAATTCCTGTGAATTCAGATGATAGGGAAAAAGCTGAATTTCACCTCGCTGAACTACAAGCAAAGAAAAATTCGGTAATATATTACTTACAATTTTCCTTTTGAAGCACATTAATTATTAGTTAATGACTATTACATTATATCTTTTGACTTAAATGTTTAAACCTATAGTGTTTTTGATGTGGATGTTCTTAGTACCTATTAAGTGATTTCTATCAAAGGCAGCTTGATTTGGTGAATAGAGCATGTGCATGTGTGCACACACACACACATATTAGTGAGGGAACAATAACATACTTCATACTCTGACATATGGGAAATTATTTAATATTTGTGTGCTTAATATGTCAGATGATGCTAGAACACAGGAAACTATAACATATCACTTAATAAATAGAAACTAGCAATAAAATTATTTCCATTTAGGCAGAGAAAAAGGGAAGGAAGGAATTCTAAACACAACTCTCTGGATTGTGTAGTTTATCGAAGAAAGATGTGTGCCTCTATTCTTGTGTTTTGTCAGGATAATTGGGCTTTTTACTCAGGAGCCCTAAAATGTATCCGATCATGGTAGGAAAGTAATTAAAGAGAGAGGAAATAAGAAAAGCGTGTCATTTGAAAATTCTGTCTTTGATCACTTCTAAAGACTAAATTTAACACAGAAAATTCTGTCTTTGATCACTTCTAAAGACTAAATTTAACACAGAAAATCTATGGTTTCTGAACAGAGAAGTAACATTATTAGAGCACTACGGTTTGTGAACAAAAAGAGAAACTGGAGGGAGAAGGAAAAACAGTAAGAGGCTTTTAGAATAATTCAAGAGAGATGTTATAAAAACCTGGACCAGGTTAGAGAATATAAATGAATCTCTGATGTAAGTGAAAACCAGAGACCAAGGATATTAGAGTCCATGAAAAGAGGCGACTTTAAAAACATTATACTGAATAGAAAGAGATAGGACTACCATATATGCTCTCCTAACAGGCTTTCACTGAACTCACCGGATTAATTTTGGTGACACTCTCCAATTCCAGAACACACTCAACTTTTGATACTTGTAGGCTCCTCTCTAGTCCACTTCTCCCTTCAGTAGTACATTCGTATACTTATCAAGAGCTAACCTGTATTTCAGTTCTTATTTTAAATAAACACAAGAACCTGAAGTGTAAATTTTAAATTATTATTTCTATTTGTCTATGAAAACCAAATGGGATACTTTGGAAAGTCTGGATAAAGGGCACTCTCTCCCCACCCCTTCCAACACCATCCTCCATAGTGTCAAATTAGATGTGGGAGAAAAAACTAAAATATGAAGAAAATGATAAAAATTCAGAGAAAATATGTAGGGAAATTATTTTTAAAAGCTAGACAAATTCTTGTGTTCAGATTTTTTCCACATGCCTTTAAATTGTTGCTACTTTAAAGAAACCAAAACTGGAAATTGTAGGCAAAATAAGGGTATGATGTCTCCAAAAACAATTAAAAAATACCAATCAAGGGATCCTTGCCTACAGAAAAGGCCTTGGTCCTTCATCAAAAGATTGATGAATGCATGTACTTTTACATATTTTATTTTTTTAAAGATGAATATCAATTAGACTTCTTATTGATTCCCTTATTTTTTTTTTTTATTTTTTAGATGAAGTCTCACTCTGTTGCCCAGGCTGGAGTACAGTGGTATGATCTTGGCTCACTGCAACTTCTGCCTCCCAGGTTCAATTGATTCTCCTGACTCAGCCTCCTGAGTAGCTAGGACCACAGGTGTGTGCCACCATGCCAGGCTAATTTTTGTATTTTTAGTAGTGACTTGGTTTTGCCATGTTTGCCAGGCTAGTCTCGAACTCCTGACCTCAGGTGATCCGCCCACCTCAGCTTCCCAAAATGCTGGGATTACAATCTTGAGCCACTGTGCCCAGCCCCCTTACTTGTTTAATTTACTCTTTTAAAATTAATCTTGACATTTTTTGATTAACCAAAGGACTTCTATTATAGGCCAAAGTAGCTACAGAGGCTTGCGTGACTTAAAAAGTTGTACAATGTTTAAAAAAGATTATTTAGTTTAGGCAAAGGAAACTGATTCATTAGTGGATTCTATCTACAAAATTTTTTTTTTAAAACTGTGGTTTCTGAATTTAGCCATTGATCTATATGATGTAACAAAAAAAAGTGCATCATCTAATGTCATCTACTCAAATCCTTGTCACAGGCCCAGTCTTTCAAAAGAGAGCAAATGGTCAAATAAAATTTAGTTCAGTGATTTAAGCCTTCTTTTCTTTTTTCCTTTTTTATATTTCTGAAGCAAGTCACTTCTTGAAAAATGTATGCCAACTGTATTAGTCTCCTATTGCTGCTACAACAAATCACTCCAAATTTAGTGGCTTAAAATAATATATATTATCTTACAGTTGTGGAGGTTGGGAGTCTGAAAACAGGTATTAAAGGACTAAAATAAAAAATATTGGCAGGGGCCAGGCTTGGCAGCTCATGCCTATAATCCCAGCACTCTTGGAAGCTGAGTTCAAGTTTACCCTGGGTAACATGGAGAAAACCTGTTTCTACAAAATAATAATAATAATAATAATACAAAATTAGCCAGGCATGATGGCACATGCCTGTAGTCCCAGCTACTCAGGAGGCTGAGGTGAAAGAATCTCTTGAGCCTAGGAGATAGGAGATGGTGGTTGCAGTGAGCCAAGGTTGTGCCCTGCACTCCAGCCTGGGTGACAAAGTGAGACCCTGCCTTGAAAAAAACAAAAAATATTGGCAGGGCTGCATTTCTTCTGGAAGATCTAGGAGAGAATTTACTCTTTGCCATTACCAGCTTCTAGAGGCCATCTGCATTCTTTGGCTCATGGCTGTCATCCAGCAATGTCATCACTTAGACCTCTGCTTCCATGATCACTTCCTCTTCTCTCTGACCTGCTGCTTCCTTCTACCTTGATAATCCAGGATAATTTCCCCATCTCAAAATCCTTAATCCATCTGCAAAGTACCTTGCTGTGTAAGGCAAGGTATTCACAGGTTTTGGGAATTAGGATGTAGATATATTTGGGAGAGGGCATTATTCTTCCTGCCATACCACATATGTGAGGGCTCCAGTGAAAGACCTACGAAAATTGTCACATTAAAATGTATAAATTGTTTTAAGGTAATGTAGTCTAAATAGAAAAGACATAAAGTAACCACTTAAAACTTTGAAGATCCCAATTTTCATATAAAATTCTTTAAACACTGGTTTACTTTAGCATTTAATTTGGCATAACTCAAAATTCAACCAATAATGAATATTTTAACTACAGGGTTTGTTTGTTGGCTATTATTTTCTATTTCTTATAGAGTGAACTCAGATTTTCTCCTTATAGAACTATGATGTCATCTTGAGTTATTCCAGATACACATCCTTGCCATTTAAATCAGTGCTATATATAGGAATATAACCATCTTTCCACTTAGTTATTCTGTATGTAAATAAAAAATTTTTTTAATTTATCTATATATGGTTAGTAAAATAAAGTGGGTATTTGAAATCTTTATTTTAGAGAAATTTATTTTAAAATTCAAGGGACTGGAACAAACTTAAGCCATTATTTCTTTTAACTGGCTGTTCAGGAGACACAAGCACAGAAAACTTCTGAAGTTTATCAGTCAAATGTGTTTGTCGTTGTTTTAGTTGCTACTGACCTTTCTTTTTAACAGCAGATAAGGATGAAATAAATGAAATCTAAAGTTCTTTTAAACCAAAAACTTTTGGTGGTATGGTTTCAGAAGAAAATTTGACAGCATTCTAGATTAGTGATGGGAAGTAACTCCCACAAAGAGTTTGTTAGGGAACTTAGAACTGACCAGCTTTAGTAAAAGGACTAATAGCTTAGCATTCATTATAAAGCAGCATTCTTGGCAACACCTACTGAGTATGAGGTAAACAGGTAATTTTACACAAATAGAAAAAGCCTACATCTCTAGATAAGCTGAATTGTATGTTCAGAATTCACACATTTTAAAGTATAAACAAGGTCAGTTTAAAGGAAAGCAGAGAAGGTATAAATTTCTAGGGGAAGCAAGAGTCCCCTGCCTAAAATATTTTTCTCCTCTATTTGCTGATTCCTGAAATTCTTACAAAAGCCTCTTAATCCTCAGCAGGTGTGAAATGCACATACTATTTAGAGTTTTACCACATTCACTAAAATTAATTATAAGATACTTCTCTTAGTTCCCATTTTATTTACTGTTTGTTTTGAAAACTAACTGCAAGTCATCTGATTAAGTAATGTGAAGAATACAAAGATTTTGAGAAATAACATTTATCTTCCAGAAATTCTATTCACACACAAAAAAGAAAAAGCATTATAATGGGGAAGTTTTAATTCTCATTTTCTTAATTCCATACTTACCTTGTAAGACCCATTGGAAATGAGGAATGGTCATCAAGCACTAGATTCTAGTGATGGTGCAATGCAGTCTGGAAAAAAAAAAAAAGAACACAAGGTTCTGGGGGAGGTTAACTCCCCTGAAAGCTCTGCTGATGTAACAGGTTTTGCCTAGTACCAATTCTGCATTTAGGCAAGCAGATAACTCCTGACTAAAAAAATGCTGTCATCTTGGACTTGTTATAAGGATTAAGCCTATTGATCTGAGTTTTGGAGATGAGATATTATTAACTGTTTTATTTTATTATGTAGCTTATTCCTGTTACCAACTTTCCTATGGATGGCAGATCATTTGGCCAAGTGAAAACTCCTCCAATAAAGATAACAAACCTGATTCTGCCTGGTGGATTGAGCCATTACATGGGATCTGACATCACTTTATCTCCTGAAGTTGAAGGTATTTTGACAAAGAATTTCAGAGAGAATGTAAAAGAATCACTTCACTTGAAATAAAAATCTCACTTTAATTTCTAATATTACTTAAAATTCCTTACATTTCCTAAAATTGCATGTTTGTTCGAGTTTCCTGTGGCCATTTTTATTTCAGAGATTATGGTTTTATTATTTTTAATTCTATTATCGTTTTCTTTTGTACTCAGCTACTAGTATGTTGTGACTAAGCATTTGCTCATTTACAATGTGAACTTTGCAATACTTGAACAATTATTTCCTGGCATATCTTTCCGAAGCTTTTATTTCATTGCATGGATGTCAGAGCGAACAACTACTAAAACCAGTTCATTACTACATCCTGCTAAAAGTGGAAATCAGAGGTGTAAGAACATAACAACACAATCTTGGGGTACAAAGGATATTTTGCAGAGAGATCTCACTTTCCCTTGAAATCATAAGAAAATATTCATGAAGCAAATACTAAAGAAGAGCTTCAAGAGGTAGAGTTTTAAAAGAGGGAGTATATTAAAAGAACAAGTATGGAAGTGGTTTATTCTGCTATATAAATTTTAGTTCAAGTTTAGAATAAGCCTGTTCCCTAATTCTACATCTTCTCTGGTTATTGTTTTGGCAAAATTGGGGGTAACTACTCCCCTGAGGGCTCACCTCTTCCATTCCTTCTGACTTCCTGCTTTGTCCTCAGACCATTCAGAGACAATAAAACTGAACATCACAATAATTATAAAATGATCTAAGAGCCTACTATCAAAAAATAGTAGATTGTTCCATGTGATTACAGTTTTTTAAAGAAACCCAGTGGAAAAAATTCAGCATAATTTACTCTATTAAGATGTTATATTTTGTCTTATTTTTCGTATGTATATGTCATTCTGGCTTCCAAGTTTTAATCATAATGAAGATTGTTATGCTTTTGTCTACAACTGTCAGTAAAATTGGGCATACCAAATTATTATTTCCTCCTTAACAGAGTCATTTGCAGGAATGTCATTATCTTTTTATATTTTTTATTAGTTTACCCCTCAACTCATCTTTATAAACTTCCTTCTCAGGAGAAGCATACCTTGTTTTATTGTATTTCACTTTATTGCATTTCAGATACTAAGTTTTTTACAAATTGAAGGTTTGTGACAACCCTGCATCAACCAAGTCTGTTGGTGCCATGTTTAAAACATGTGCTCACTTTGTGTCTCTTTATCATATTTTGGTAATTCTCTTACTATTTCAAACTTTTTCATTATTATTATATTTGTTATGGTGATCTGTGATCAGTAATCTTTTTAAGTCAATTAATAACCCTACAGTGACCTCTAATGAAGGAATAATCTCACATCTCTCATTTTAAATTAAAAGCTGGAAATGATTAAACTTAATGAGGAAGCCATGTTGAAAGCCAAGATAGGCTGAAAGGTAGGCCTCTTATACTCAACAGATAGCCAAATTGTGAATGCAAAGGAAAGAAATCTTGAAGGAAATTAAAAATGCTACTCCAAGGAACACATGGATGATAAGAAACTGAAACAGTCTTATTGCTGATATGAATAAAGGTGGTCTGGAATAGTATCAACCAGCCACAACATTCCCTTAAGCCAAAAACTAATCCAGAGGTCTTCAAGTCTATGAAGGCTGAGCGTGGTGAGAAAGCTGCAAAAGAGAAGTTTGAAGCTAGCAAAGGCTTCTTCATGAGGTTTAAGGAAAGAATCACAAAATATTATATCAGACAACGTAAAAGCATAAGGTAAAGCAACAAGTGCTGATGTAGAAGCGGCTGCAAGATATATAGAAGATCTAGCTAGGATAAATGATGAAAGTGGCTATACTAGAAAAGATATTTTCATTGTAGATGAAACAGCCTTATATCAGAAGATGATGCCATCTAGGACCTTCATAGCTAGAAAGGAGAAGTCAATGCCTGGCTTCAAAGCTTCAAAGAACAGACTGTCTTGTTAGTGGCTAGTGCAGCTGGTGACCTTAAGTGGAAGACATTGCTCAATTTAAAGAAATCATTGCTGAACCATTGTAAAACTCCTAGGGATCTTAAGAATTACGCTAAATCTACTCTGTCTATGCTCTATCAATGGAAGAACAAAACTTGGATGACAGTACATCTGATTTACAGTATGGCTTACGAAGTATTTAAGCCCTCAGCACTGTTGAGACCCAGTGCTGAGACAAATACTGCTTTCCAAAGACTGCTGCTCATTGACAGTGCACCTAGTCACCTAATAACTTTGATGGAGAAGTACAAGATGAATGTTGTTTTCATGCCTGCTAACACAACATCCATGCTGCAGCTGATGGATCAAGGAGTAACTTCAAGTATTATGATTTAAGAAATACATTTTGTAAGGCTCTGACTGCCATAGATAATGATTCCTCTGATGGATATGGGCAAAGTAAATTGAAGACTGCTTGGGAAGGATTCACTATTCTAGATGCCATTAAAAACATTTGTAATTCATGAGAGGAGGTCGAAATAGCAACCCTAATGGGAATTTGGATGACTGAGGGATTCAGAACTTCAGTGGGGGACATAACTTTCAAACTTTTTCATTATTATTATATTTGTTATGTTTGTGGTGGAAACAGCAAGAGAACTAGAAGTGGAGCCTGAAGATGTGACTGAATTGCTGCAATCTCATGCTCAAACTTGTATGGATGAGGAGTTGCTTCTTATGGATGAGCAAAGAAAGTGGTTTCTTGAGATGAAAATTACTCCTGGTGAAATGCTGTGAACACAGTTTAAATGACAACAAAGGATTTCAAATATTACATAAACTTAGTTCATAGAGCAGTGGCAGAGTTTGAGAGGACAGACTCCAATTTTGAAAGAACTTCTACTATGGAGAACACGCTATCAAACATCACGTTGTTCACAGAAATCTTTCATGAAAGGAAGAGTTGTTCTATGCCATAACTTCATTGTTGTCTTATGTTAAAAAATTACCACAGCTACACAGCCTTCAGCAGCCACCACCCTGATTGGTCAACAGCCATCAACACTGAAACAAGACCCTCCAACAGCAAAAAAATTACAACTTGCCGAAAATTCACATGATCGTTAGCATTTTTTAGCAGTATTTTTAAATTAAAGTATGTCATTTTTAAACATAATGCTATTGCACACTTAATAGACTACACTATAGTTGTAAACATAACTTTTATATGTCCTGAAAAAACAAGAAATGTGTGTGATTAACTTTATCACAATGGTCTGGAACCACACCCACAATATTTCCGAAAAATGACTGTTACTTTCTTTGAGATTTGTTATGCACTGAAAAAATCCTGCAAACCCTTTCCTATGTTTTGACTGTGCTGCCCCAATTTTTATTTTATTTTATTTATTTTTTAAATCTTTTTTTAAATTGCATTTTAGGTTTTGGGGTACATGTGCAGATAATGCAAGATAGTTGCATAGGTACACACATGGCAGTGTGATTTGCTGCCTTCCTCCCCTTCACCCACATCTGGCATTTCTCCCCATGCTATCCCTCCCCAGCTGCCCACCCTGTGGTCCCTCCCCTATTCCCCCCAATAGACTGCATGTGTAGTGCTCCCCTCCCTGTGTCCATCTGTTCTCATTGTTCATCACCCACCTATGAGTGAGAACATGCGGTATTTCATTTTCTGTTCTTGTGTCAGTTTGCTGAGAATGATGTTCTCCAGATTCATCCATGTCCCTATAAATGACACGAACTCATCATTTCTGATTGCTGCATAATATTCCATGGTGTATATGTGCCACATTTTCCCAGTCCAGTCTATCATCGATGGGCATTTGGGTTGGTTCCAGGTCTCTGCTATTGTAAACAGTAATACAATGAACATTCGTGTGCATGTGTCCTTATAGTAGAACGATTTATAGTCCTTTGGATATATACCCAGTAATGGGATTGCTGGGTCAAATGGAATTTCTATTTCTAGGTCCTTGAGGAATTGCCACACTGTCTTCCACAATGGTTGAACTAATTTACACTCCCATCAGCAGTATAAAAGTGTTCCTATTTCTCCACATCCTCTCCAGCATCTGTTGTCTCCAGATTTTTTAATGATCGCCATTCTAATTGGCATGAGATGGTATCTCGATGTGGTTTTGATTTGCATTTCTCTAATGACCAGTGATGATGAGAATTTTTTCATATGTTTGTTGGCCTCCTGTATGTCTTCTTTTGTAAAGTGTCTGTTCATATCCTTTGCCCATTTTTGAATGGGCTTATTTGTTTTTTTTCTTGTAAATCTGTTTGAGTTCTTTGTAAATTCTGGATATCAGCCCTTTGTCAGATGGGTAGATTGCAAAATTTTTTCCCATTCTGTTGGTTGCCGATTCACTCTAGTGACTGTTTCTTTTGCCGTGCAGAAGCTGTGGAGTTTGATTAGGTCCCATTTGTCTATTTTGGCTTTTGTTGCCAATGCTTTTGGTGTTTTGTTCATGAAGTCCTTGCCTACTCCTATGTCCTGAATGGTTTTGCCTAGATTTTCTTCTAGGGCTTTTATTGTGCCAGGTCTTATGTTTAAGTCTTTAATCCATCTGGGGTTAATTTTAGTGTAAGGTGTCAGGTAGGGGTCCAGTTTCTGCTTTCTGTACATGGCTAGCCAGTTTTCCCATCACCATTTATTAAACAGGGAATCCTTTCCCCATTGCTTGTTTTTGTCAGGTTTATCAAAGATTGTATGGTAGTAGATATGTTGTGTTGCCTCCGATGCCTCTTTTCTGTTCCATTGGTCTATATCTCTGTTTTGGTACCAGTACCATGCTGTTTTGATTACTGTAGCCTTGTAGTATAGTTTGAAGTCTGGTAGTGTGATGCCTCCTGCTGTGTTCTTTTTGCGAAGAACTGACTTGGCTATGTGGGCACTCTTTTGGTTCCATATGAAGTTTAAGGTGGTTTTTCCCAGTTCTGTGAAGAATGTCATTGGTAGCTTGATGAGGATTGTTTTGAGTGTGTAAATTACTTTGGGCAGTTTGGCCATTTTCATGATATT